AGGTATGCCAAATTGTTCAGAAACCTCTGAAACGTGAAAATATGCAAAAAAAATTATATTCGATTTTTAGACGCTTACAATAACTTACCCTACGAGATGTTAATAAAGTATGAGCAAATTAAAAATCACACTCACATATAAACATACGTATATATAAGTGTGTATCATTTTACATATTATTCGAGTGTATTTTTTCCTATTCCTATTCCACACTTGTCATATTCCGACCACGATTTTTTCTTCGCCTTTTCGCGTCGCTCGATGCGATCATCGTACTCTATACAACCCCGAAGTATAAATTCTTCACAGGCTTCGAGTCCGACGTTTCAGTACGCTCTGCTATCGACCGATTTCCTGCGTTACGGGCGGAATGAAAGCCCGAGCGAGGGCGGTGGAGCCAGGGAGGTGGAGCAGTAGCGTAGCAAAAAAATCGCCGAAGAAAAACTACATGGATTTATACTTCATGAATAAAATGAGAATTTTTATGGAAAAGCGGAGTGCGTAGAAAGTTATGCGGTGAAAGTAAAATGTTGTAAATATAAATAGCCAGTGATGATGATGCGTTGTGTTAGTCATATGAACACATCGTATTCTAATATTGTCTAGGGTGTTAGTTTCAGACAATATTTTTGTTTTACTTATTGCCCATTTCGGACAGTTGTAAAAATTATTGTCTACGTAGGATTTTAAAAATAACCGAAGCGTAAAGGAAGTAGCCATGAACATAACTTTAATGAATTCAATTCAAACCGATAAAATTAAAATTATGGAGGATTTTTCAAGCGCTTCAACTCGTTTGTAGGATTTTACTGATTGTAATTTATTCAAATTTAAGGATTGGTTAAATTTTACCAACATACCAATATGTTGTAAAATTTTAAGTTCATAATACGCATAGTGTATCAAACTCAGAAGAAAAGTGGAAATTTTTTTGTCCTGTTGTCATATTTCAATTAGTGAAGAAAGCTGTCAAACCGTCACAAGGTTTTGTATGCAAAACAAAGAGTGTCAGTAGGGTAGGGATGGGCACAGCGATTCAATTTGACTTTCAGTAATAATACTGTCTAAATTAAAAGAAGTACATCACAACACTTACACGTGCCAAACAAAAAACTATCGAAATATGTTCAGGAAAACTCTCAGTTAATTCTGATTGGTGTTAAAATATAATAAAAATAAAAAAATAAAAAATTCCTAATAATAGAAATATGTATTTAGTTATTTTTTTTAAGATTTGTCATCTGTCCCTTTTTATCATATAAGCCGAGTAAAAAGGAACAGACCTCGAAGAAAGGGATACAGTGTTTTAAATTTAATTTTAATTTTAAGGCAATTTTACGAATTAATTTAACCAACACAAAACAAAAATTTCATAGAAATATTTTTTACAAAGATTACATCATATATAACCTTGATCTGAAACTTCGTCAGACACATTCATCGGCAGAGAGTTCGAATAACTATTTGTATAATTTATCTCTTGTAAAATTGTTTTTTCCAGCTTATTTTACTATTTCGTTTTAAAGGTTAAGTTGGTCCTTTTAACCGCACCCACATGTAAGTTTTTGTAAAGGTTATAAAATGAACTGCTCAATCTTACTTAAAATCAACAATACATCATACTAAACAATAAAATAACGTATACCTAAAAATTATATTAAGGTCTCGTAAACTAAACAACACTGCTCATAACCAAATAAAAATTTCTGGCCATTTACAGAAATATAAGAGAGCGAGAGCAAACAAAAACCAATTCGATACAAATTGAAATCGAATCCACTTATTCCATCTTACGTTAAAATGTTAGTAAGATAAGAAAAATCTTAATCTAAAAAAGAAAGTTTGGCAAAAAAGTGCGCAAAAACATTTTATATGTGTTGATAAAATGAAGAACTGATTGAATATTAGGAAGGTAGATCCAGCGGTTTCGGAAATTCAATAAAGAAAATATATAAAAACGTCATTTGGTGGTCAAAAATGATCATCAGACATATGCAAATCAAATTATCAGATATTTTTTTAGAGATTTTAATAATACGTATATTTTTATGAATTTCGTACCAATGTTTATTCGTTATAGTGTGACGTGGCGCTTACGCGTTTTGATATTTTTTCTCTAAAACAGCTACTAAGGGCAATTATAATGGAAAAGTCCAAAATTTGCAAGAAATTCAAAACATAAAAAAATTCAAATTCTTAAGAAGAGTTAAAAAAAAATTCATTTTTGGTACAGAAATTTTCAGCAATTTGCCTTAAGACACGATGCTATGCACCACTAGTTTATTATTACAAAATCAAGGAGTTTTCTTTACAATATTCATATTATTATAAATAATCTCTCCGCGCCACTGAAAGATCAAGTGAGCAAGAGAGCCGATGCGTTTCTCGTTCAGAACGAAACGAGAAACGGGGCACCCCGTATGCACGCACGTGGAGTAAGAAAAGGAAAGGAACGATGTAAGTTCTCTCCGCGGGGATGGAAATTGATAGAGAGGGCGTCACGCCAGAACACGGAGGGTATCACCCGAAAAGTATCATTGACAGCGATAGTTCACCTCACGAGGGATGAGGTGCATAATCTATTTCTAATTTTAACAACTGCAACATTGTTAGTAAAGTTTACAGGGGAGGGAGGAGGAAAACTAAATTGCATATCGACTGTGCTTAATCTTATCAGTAATAAAATACAATTATACTTAATTATTAATTATACAATTATACTCTTATATATATAATGCAAACTATTAATTATTGCAAAGAGGATTTTACGGACATTACATACTATACAGAACAAGGCACTGAGACTAGCACTAAACAAATCGAGAAACCTACTGACACGTCTGATGGTCCCCGACAGTATATGACTATATAAAGAAGCTCACTAAAAATTTTACCTCAAATATAAAGACCACCATAATATTAACATCCAGGCACTTGAGCAATTTACAAGAAAAATAGTTTGGTATGTCAAACACGATATGACCAATATTAAAAAGTGTATATTTTGATAAAATATCAAAACTTTTCTTTTTTTCATCATATAATTATCAAAAAATTTATAATACCCAAGAATAGACAACTTATGTACCAGTCCACTTCTATGTAAAATCCATTTTATGAAAAAATATATATAAATTTTTGTACTAAAACTTGTTAAAACAAAGTTAAAACCTATAACAGTATAATAAAATCAGTGTTTCGTTAAATATCGCCTATTTATGAAGCTAATTCTATGTTAAAAAGTGTCATAGTCTAAATTCGTATGAGTTGGTAGTCAAAAACTGTCTTGTCCTACCAGTTCACTTACATGTAAAATCTATTTTATAAAATGAAATATATATTTTTGTACTAGAACTTGAACTTATTGCAAAGTTAAAACCTATAACATTATTAGAAAATCAGTGTTCCATTAAATATTACCTATTTATAAAACCAATTCTTGGTTTAAATAGAAGAGTTATTGTGTTAAGGTCTATATTCGTACGAGTTGATACTCCCAAACTGTCAAAATCGGTTCATGTATAAAACAAATACGTAGTTTTTTGATAGATCGTGACTACCAACTAATACGAATTTAGACCCGTAACCATAATATTTCCATTTTATCCGAGGCTTCTATAAACACTATTTTCCAGATTGCAAAGCTACATAAATATATAATTTATATAAATACCCAGGTCAAACATCTAAGATTTGGATACGCAGAAGTATTTGCTTTATAAAAAAAACTGATTTAACATATTCACTGTTACGCACGCATATGTTGCGTGAGGCTTTTGTTAATAGCCAGGCACTATAGAGCAGGGTTTTTAGTAAGATAAAATACTCAAATTTAAATTTCGTACCGTAATTATTTCAAACAAAAATAATCATATGTATCCTATTTTGAAACATTTTGTTTAATTTTCAGCTAGTATTTTATGCCTAGGTATGGTTTTAACATTAAACAAAAAGAAAAGATTAGCACAAGGGGAAGTGTTAGAAACACTAAATTAGCAGTGAATGTGTAGATTGATTAAAGAAAAATATTATATAAACAAAAAACATTAACCAGTATAATTAGTTTTTATTTTAAACAATTTATTTTATAACTAACGTAGTGATGAATGTGCAACTGCCCGTAAACGCATGTAAAAACTATAGCAAAATATTTCCTATGCTGAACTTTAAGTTACAAGAAGCTGAAATATGTTCTATCAATAATCGTTTTTTTATCGGCCGTCACTGGCATAAACTGAAAACGAAATGAGCGATGACTGGAACACGACACGAATATCGCAGTCTTAAATTGTCTATAGTGCGGTGCGGAATATTTTATAGTTTGTTGGCTCTTTTCGCTATATAGCTTCTATAAAACATTTTTATAGGAATATCACGACAAAGTTAAATAGACTTGAACACTCTCTCAGGCCACAATCAGAAAATAAAACACAAATAGTAAAATATATTCCAATACCAAAAATGTCGAATTTACATCCGACTTCCAAACGTATTTTAGAATAATCTTCTACTTTCATAAAAAACGACGCGGTTCACAAATAATCTAAAAAAATTGCTAGGATTATTTGTTTTTCGCATTTTGATTGTAAACAATGAAATATGCAATGCAACATATTATATACGTTCTATATAACACAAAACTATATAAATAAATCAAAGATTCCTGAAAATGAAGCTACACATATAAATATTTAGAATAATATAACATTCATGATAATGAAATGTGGCAGATATATATTTTTAGAATTTATTTTGGTTGCGTTTGCAATTTGTATGTTATTGCTCAACGGCTATTTTTTCCATTTCTCTTTAAAGCATAAATCTATGGCAAAATAATTTAAAAAAAGTATGAATAAATATCAAATATAGAAATTATGCTCATTTAGTATCGTCTAAATAAATCCACTTACGCTAAAATGTTATTTGCTATATTGACAGAATATATTTTTTGAGCAAAACCAATTTGGAATTATTGCAATCACAATCAAATACAATCTTACCTTTTTCCCGCAATCTCTCGTCGCACTCCGGGGTCGATCTAAGGTCTTCCTCCGAGCTGCTGAAAGAAATCTGCGGTTGCTGCAGTTGATGTTGTCCCTGCATGGTAGGCGTCTCAGGTCTACTGCGTCTATGTTTCTTCGGGGTTTCCGGCAGCGATATGCCGCCAGTTGGCACTCCTGGTTGCTGCTGCGTTTGTGGTGTTAACCCAAACCTCTGTCTAGGATGCACAAGATGAGGATGAGTTCGCATCAGTCCTTCCAGTTCTCCTCTGTAATAACTAGGATCATCCACATCGTCTGGAGGTATCAGACGCTGCTCCTGCTGCGAATACTGCCTTCGAAGAGGCGAAGATGGAGCATTTAACATTTCTTGTTCGGCAGCACTTCGAGCTCTTTCTAGTTTGGGCCGTTTGTCGCAGGATTGTTGCTGCAGAAATTGTTGATGCGGTACTTGGTGGCCAGGTTGAACAAGGGTTTGTTGGTGATGGAAAGCAGGAACGGCAGCTGGAGAACCGATTTGATGCTGCATGTCTGCTTCGATACGGCGCATGATAGCATCTTGACCAGGGCCTTTGTTTATCCATTGTCCGGTCTTCGAAAGTAGCTCTTGTTTCTTTCGACATAGTATGCAAACCCATATCACCTGAAAAGAAAAAAAAATAATATAAACAATTTATAAAAGTAAAACAAAATAAACAACATATTACTAATGACCAACAATAATTGCAATAATTAGTATGAGAGCTAATGGCTTATTATGACAGGGGTAAGTAGTAACAGACGTTTTTCAATAGGATCATAAACGATATTAAAAAATTTCCTCATCTGGATTGACCATGTAAACAATCCTGTTAGAGACAACGAAGTATACAAAAGTAAACAAGTGCGTATAGTTTGGCAGGTAATATAAATTTGTACTATCATAAAATTTTGGTTTGAGTTCACCATAGAAAAGTAAATGAGAACAACTATTTATGAAACTATTTATTTTGCGATATATATTGATCTTTAATTTTTTTCTTTCTCTTTCAATCTTTTTGCTAGCTCTCAAAACTTGTACTAACTTAAATATACAGGTATTTACATGCACAAACTATCATCCCCTATCTCAAAGAGTCACGGATTGATTACAAAAATGCCTAGTCAAATCTTGACTACTAATAAAATGTTAAAACAACATTAAGCATAACAAATTGATATAAATTAGGAACTTTACTTTGTTGTTTACATAACAATGTTTACAAAACAATTTGTGTATTGATGTACCAACTACAATAATTAATTGGAATGTCCTCTATCAAGTATATTACAATCCTCACCACTGACAATAATTGATCTCAGATTTGACGTTTGCAACCACATTTAATTATCCGCTTGCATTAGTGCAAATGAAATGTCCTCGGGCTCCGTGCAATTGCCATGGAGAAGATTTGTACATTCATTAATGCGCGCTTCTGTCATAGTCATAGTCATAGTCACGGCGTTTGCGTTTGCGTTTAGCAATTATCAAAAAGCCCGGCGACGGATTTCGAATTGAGTGAGTGCGTTCGCGAATCATTCGAGAGATCGTCGAGATCGTCAAGATCGTCGGGATCGTTCATTTCGAACATAATGAATGGGCAGAGGTTGTTAGATGAAAACAGAAAATTAAGTTTGCTTTTAGTGATAATTGAAATATGTGTTATAATAACGATTAAAACGAATATTTTTTATATATTATATATATACATAATCTAAAATTAATTAAAAATAATTAATAAATGTATATAATATTTTATTTGTATTAGTTGTGATGCTTGTCATTCAACAAAAATCTTCAAAATATAAAAATTAGATAAACAAATTCATTGCTACTTTTATAAAATTATTTTTCATAAGAAAGCTTAATTATGTTGCAATAATTTTGTATTTTTCTGATTTTATTATTATATTATTATTATATATATATATATATATATATATATATATATATACATAGCTGGGCATTAACTCGTTAATCCGTTAATCGTTAATTAACGAAGTTAACATTTTGATTAACGGATTAACTTTTAAGTTAACTTTTAAAAATGTTAACGGACACGTTAACTTCCGTTAAAATGCGAGAAGTCCGTTAATCGTTAATCCAATGCCTACTATTTACCGCACGGCACAGCTTTAGCCAATGCCTTATTAAACGGCATAGAGAAAAGATTTGGACTACTCCTGAATGATGAACAGTGCCAACTTGCCGCGGCATTTCACCCAAAGTTTCGGTTAATGTGGCTGGAAACGTATGACAGCAGTAGAGAGGAATGCAGAAACTATAAACTATTGGACAAAAAATTAATTTTTTTTGAAAAAAAAATGTTTTCTTTATTTTGACATATTTTGGAAGATCTGAACTTTTTTTCAAAGCAATTTTACTGCTTTAGGACTGCATAGAGACAAAATATAAAGCGCGTAAGCGCCGCGTCGCTGTCTAAAGGATAAACATTGGTACGGAACCCATAGGAATGTAAATAAAATTTATACTTATTGTTAAAATCTCTATAAAATATCTGATAATTTGATGTGCATATCGATGCTTTTCTGACGCAACCTCGTAACTCGATTTTTGACGATTTTGAGTTTTAATCGGAAAATCAATCACTAAATTTAGACGCATAGATCTGTGAAGTTTTGTAAAAAAAATCAACCAAACGTTTTTTATTGAGAAAAATACAATCACGTATTTCAATTCAGAAAAATGTGCCATGCGCAACCTCGTATCTCAAAATACATGGTGGCGTATAAGAACAAGTTTCGCTGTCAGCAATGTTGTTTAGTTCAATCCTTCTAATAAAAATTATTATTCAATTAAGTTAATTGTTATTAAAACTTAATAAACGATAGTTAATAAATATATTTATTATTTACTTACCGCAAGTTATAGTAATTTTCATAAAATTGAAAATGAAACTTTTGCATATTTAACGTTTCAGAGGTTTCTGAATATCTTGACATACCTTAAAAAATGTGTGTGTGTGGATACAATTTTCTGTCCACGTTTTCGGGAGCACGGATCAACCGATTTGAAACATTCAAAAAGCAATCGTTTCCTATTAAGAAAACAGAGTATCCGATTTGAATTATTTAAAAACATTCAATTTGTATTGATGACGTGGTGATTAGTTTCTGGAAAAGACAGGCCCAGTCGTTTCAAAGCTTCGGATTCGAATGATTCAATGAACATTTTGCAGTATAAAGAATCGATTAGTTTAGGAAAGCAAAGTTTTTTGTCAATTTTTTTTAATTTACAATTATTTCTATGTTTAAATATGAAAAATGATTCGGACTTTAATTTTAATGCTAGCTAAAATTCTAAAACTCTCTTATATACTTCAAATAAATAAATTTAAATTTGCAAATTAGTTTATATAATTCTTAGAAATATATATGAGATATGTTTTTTTTACTTTTATTTACTTTTTATGTAAACATATATAAACGTCGTTGTCCAGTTTATTCTTATATTTTGTCATTCAAATACGAATAACGAAAGTTACAGGCACTTCTTCGCTTATAGGCACGATGCCATGCACCACTAGTTGTATTTTTATTATGTTGAGAACAAATATCACAGTAAGCTACAAAAATTAAACAATTATCAATTCTTACTGACAATCAATGAAATTAAATTTTGTATTTTTTAGAGTTAGATAATGTGTCATCCGCAGATAAAAAATCATTAAATAAAGAAATAATAACAAAAAAGAATAAAAGTAACAATAAAAATTATAATCACAAAGTAGTAAATTATAAATCCACGAAAGAGCTAAATATCCTAGATATTGAAATACCTAAACTATGGCCAGATACTATATTGTCGTAATTATAAACTAACATATACGACAAGTTTAATAATGTTTATTTCATTAAAAATTATTTAAAAAGTTGATCGATTCTCAAAACAAAACAATTGAAAAAAGTTATTCATGTACTCTTATTTGAAAACAGCATGACGCAACCACGTATGTTACATTTTTTTCCGTGCGACAAACACGTATCTCAAAGAATTGAAGAAAAAATAATGATTAATTGTTTGTAATATCATACTTGTCTCAAATAATTGTCACAAGATTGAATATTTTTAAAATTTATAAAAAAAATTGTCAACAGCAGTTCAAAAATTCGTATAAAACGTTCTTTGTCTCTCCTGAAAAGTAGTAGTTTCTGAGATACGAGGTTGCGTCAGAAAAGCATCGATATGTCTAATCATCATTTTGACCGCCAAATGGCATTTTTTTTACTTTTTTCATTAGATCTCCGAAACCGCTAGACCTGCCTTCATGAAAAATTGATCAGTTCTTCATAATTGTCAATACAAGTAAAATGTTTTTTGAATTATTAAAATCGGACCTCCGTTCTCTTAAAAACTGAGTTACCGTTTTTGGCTCAATTTTGCCCCATATCTTCGGAACGGCTAGACCTGCCTTTGCCAAAAACTAATCAGCACGTCTTCTTATCAATACAAATCGAATGTTTTTTGAATTATTCAAATCGGTTGATCCGTGTTCCCGAAATCGTCGACGAAAATTTGTATCCGAATACACATACATACACACACACACATACATCCATTTTTTCTAAGGTATGCCAAAATATTCAGAAACCTTTTAAACGTCGAGAAATGCAAAAATTTTCATTTTCGATTTTTTTGCGATTACTATAACTTGCCCTACGGGAAGTTAAAAAAACTCTTTCCCTTTATTTAGAAAAAAATTCTTGTAAAAACAATATGCAATCATAAAAACGGAAAGTTGACCAATAGCGTTATCACGGTATGTGATAATTGTGCCATTTTCCTTACACACACGGAAGTGGCCATAAAACGCGCGAGGGGTTAAATTACACATTTAAATTATACAAGTATTTTGTTTTATTCATAACCTGTTAACTTCCAGAACCTAAACTAATAAGTTTTTTAAGTTCACTAACGCAACGATATAAAAATGTAATTTTACACATATTAACGGATTAACGATTAACGTTAACTTGCGTTAATTCTTCCGAAATGTAACGCTTTAACGTTTAACGAAGTTAACTTTTTTTGTAGCGGATTAACGATTAACGAAGTTAACTATTTGATTAACGGTGCCCAGCTATGTATATATATATATATATATATATATATATATATATATATATATAAGATTACTTCTGCTGAATGATAGCACACATTTAGTGAAACAACCAAATAAATAATTATATAAATTCATTTATTATTTTTAATTCGACGTATTGGACGTTAAATTATGACAAAGATATTTTAACGTGTAAAACAACTTTTGACATTTGTTTGCAACTATATTATTATCCACATATATATAAAAATAAGTCGGGTTTTTCTTCCTGACAAAATAACTCCAGAACGCACGAACCGATTTCGACAATTTTGCATTCGTTGGAAAGGTCTCGGGCTCTGCAAGGTTTATAGCTAAGAATTTATTTAGTGGTGCATGGCATCGTGCCTTAATGCAAATTGCTGGAACTTCACGCACTGTAATTGAAAATTCTAATAAAGACATTAGTAAGAATTATCAGAATTATGCTTGGTTAAGTCAACGAGCAATTCTTGCCGCAAAGAATAATGAGGTACACGCACTGAATTTCACCATTTAATCA